GCTCTCAATTACTATTTTCCTTTTCTTCTCACAGCCCCTAATTCCCATAAACTTTCAGCATATGCATTTTGAGTGAAAGAGTTCCACAGCTTCCCTTCACCTTGCTTAAACAAACACTTTTGTGTTATTTTTGAGCTTCCCAGTGGCTGGATTTGTTTGATGTCCCCTGCTACTGCACACTTGATGCCATTCATGATCTTGTCACTCTACTTCTCTTTCACACCTCTGTTGAGCAGAAGAATGTGACCTGCTGTCACTTCACAGACAGAATCTAATTGTACCATTTTATTTTTCTACCTTTTCATTCATTCTCTGAAGCTTTTTCAGTTTGATCACATTTTTTGTTTGTTTGTTTATTTTCCAATCAAGGAACTGGGCACAGTATTTAAAAAGTTAAATATCATATTAGGCTATTGCATATCTGTTGATTGATACAATGATGAATTTAATGTTCACTTATTTTCTCTGCTGCTTTCCTAATAAATGTTAACTGCATACTTGCATTTTTTCTGACCTCCTAAGCACAAGACCAACATTTTCACAGAAACATTTAACTGCTAAATTAAAGCTAAGTGAAATATGTAAAATATAAAATTGTTTTCATATCAGTTTATATTTCTCTTCATTGAATTTAATTTTTAATTTTAACAAATTAAAATTAATACAGTCAGTCATTTAGGGCCACTCCTATTTAACACCTTTAATAACTTAGTATGATCACCAAATTTGCCACATAATTATACACTACTTTCCCAGCATATTCACATGTTCAAATATATTTTGAGACACATGGATCACAGAATATGTCCCCTGGAACTTCACTCTTGGCCTCTGTTGCCTGTGAAAAATCACTATTTTCTCCAATATTTTACATCTTTTTATGAATACAGGGACTTTCCTCTTAGCCAGCTGCAGTTTCCTTTGTGTTTTCTCTTAGCCATCTGTGCAATTTCCTGTGGTGTTTGGTAATATTGACACTGTTAGATGTGTTCTAGCTCTTTTTAGAAAGACATTATTAAAGTTTGAACCCTTTTGCCACATACTGATTTAATGGACCATACACTTTCAATCTAAAACTAGCAACATAGTTGCAACCTCACATCTCAAAAGCTACCAAAATAACTTTAAACAAAGAATTTCACACCACAGGTACCATTTGGCTATTTCATCCCTGAGTGTCTTTAAAAATCTTTGGTGTATATACCTTCATTTTGTTTTGTACCACCTCAAACTGACAAACCATGACCTCATATGAGCTCCCCCACAAAAAAAAAATTAATGTGTGAGAACCTACAAAAGTCCTTCCACACAAGCACAAGCAGAATTAAAGTGTTCTGACCATTTTGTTCCCGTAGCGTCTTCTAAGTGCTTTTGTTTTCCTTGATTATCTTTCAGCATTACAGATGGTCTCCCAGACTTCCCTCTGCTCTATTGTAGAAACAGGATTTCTTAATTCTTGTTTCTTTCAACTTTTAGTCGAGAAATCTCAACTATCTTGGAATTGATTTGATTAATGTTGCTCTGGGTTTGTTGTTTGGTTTTTGGGTTTTTGTTTTTAGGTTTTTTTTTTTTGTTTGTTTGTTTGTTTTGTTTTGTTTTTTTAAAAATTTGTATTTAGTCTTACATTTTCCTTAAAAATCTTCAGCTATCTGAAGGACATCTTGCCCTCAGTAACATCTGATAACCTGCTGATTCGCTGTGTGGTTTCCCTTTTACCCTTTCTCAAGCCTTTCTAGCTAAGTAGAATGTATTTGCTCTCTGTCTTCAATAATACCTTAAATAGTCTTTGTGCCATCTGCCATGACACAACCTTCTTAGCATTCCTTCCAGAGTCTCCCAAATAGGAGTCCTTGTTTATTATTGTTTTTTCTGAAGTTCAGCCCAGCTGTGGGGAGATGTCATTGCTTCCTTGCAGATCTGCAAGGATATTGAATCTAGACAGAGAAGTATTTTGAACAACATCCACTTGGCTTTTGTTTCCTCTCTCATGGTATCTTCAACAGTCCAGTCCATGAAAATCATTGATTTAGTCTCAGCAGTCCTCTAAGATTCCTTCTAAGATCCAGTCTCAGTGATAGTCTCCTCCCTAGCGGGCCGCTCCAGGGCAGAGTGGTGGCTGTCGTTCCTCCACCCCTCCTTAGACAATAGCTTACCACTATCTTGTGGTCAGCTTTTATTAACAACATCGCTGCCTTGCTACGTACCCAGCACATCACTGATCAGAGGGGAAAAAAACCCTGTCCCTTGGGGATATTCACAACATGGGACAGCTGGGGCAGCTCTGTCAGGAGAGGAACTCTTTTATATTACCCTGGTGATCACCAGGTTTTTGTAATCTTTGTCTTCCACTCCGCAAAACAGCTACTTTAACATATCCCAATTTTTCTAATGAATTATGGTGATCCTTGTCCTTTAAAAAATTCAAGTGCTGAAATTTTGTCTTGTAGACAAGTCTAGAACTGTCAGCATTTCGTTTTGCACACCTCACACTTTCAAGCCTATTGGCTGCTCCAGGTGGTTTTTCAGATGCCAGCTAATGAAACAATGCACTATTACTCTAGAACTATTTCTGTAGGCATTTCTTATATGCGTGACACATAAACCTACACAAGGACCCATCAATTGCTGTAAAGTCATCTTAGTTGAAAAAGTTCTGCTGGTCTTGTCAGTACACTTGGATGAACATAACGGAAATACCACAACTTTTTTTTGCTTTTCGATAAGATAATCTAATTGTCTCCTCTGGTTTTAAACTACAAAAAAGCACTTCAGTGATAATTATTTGCCAACAATTTCTGAAATTTTGTGTTGAAATGCTATCTCATGGAAGAATCTGCACAATATACAGACATAATCCAAATTTACATCCAATATTGAATAATTATCTAAGGATTTAATTTAAATCTATGAAAATCAAGCAATCTGAATTTCTCCCCATGACACTGCTAGTAAAATAAGACATGATATATGACACTGTATGTGTGTGCACGCACATGGAAATTTACTTTCCAGCATGAAGTCCCAGTTAAGCAGAGGTGCAAATAACAGCATGTGATTAATGAGACCTGTGGTTTGCAGTGTTATCTTAAAATTACATTTGTCACTTAAATTAGGTCTACATGTTGGTATGTGCTCATCATTTTTGCATTGCATACATTACATAAAACCACTCCTGGGACCAAGTAATTATTTTTCATAGCTCATGTATTTTTCTGAAGAAAACTGTGCATTGTTTTAGGTGGGTTTTGTGCAATAAAAATTTTACACACAAGCTGATCTAGAACTCAGCATAGCACAAAAATATTTGCAAATAGTTACAAATTATTCCACTGGATTTTTATTGGGCTATTTTCAAATACAGATGAATGCATTTTGTTCACAAAAATAAGAGCTTTTTCAAGTGTTATTATTAGGCAATGATGGAAGTGTTCAAATTATCATTCTGAAATTTTCTAATTGTTTCAATAACATTGTCCCCTTCTTAAACAACTGAATACTTGTCTCAATGAAGAAGCTCTCCAATTTTAAAATATTGATTATCCAAAAAGAGAGGAAAACCAAGCCCATGACAGTTATGTGTCCAAATAACGTATTCTAATGACACAGAAATGACATCACAGTTAGAACACTATAAGCCAAAAGCTAAATTGTGTGTGAACAAAACACAGCCATCATTCTTTAACAAATACAAAGGTTTAATTTATCCATTTCACCACAGGAAACTGACCACTAACTTTCATAAAAAGAGTCAAATCATAAGATCATCCCAGTTTTTTTGCCAAATGAGGGAGCCTAACAAAAACTTACTTAATTTTCCCATTTCCTGACAAACTTCAAAAACTGTTTATGGCTTCAGAGTCACAAGCAAAGACAGAGGTCAGGTCTTTCAGCAAAAAATACAGTAACATGAGCATCTTTTGCAGTAACAGGACTTGTGGCACTTACTTCAGCAGAGCTGGCATTTCATTCATGAGCAGGTAAGGGTGCCATGCGTGCACACACACACACGAACATACACGCATAAACACTTGTTAGCACATTAGAGCAGAGCAACATGTTTTTAAGATATCTGCCCATCACAAAGTTAACCCACAGATTTTTTAATCTTTGTTTTATTAGTTTTTGTTGTTGAAAAGCATTTTTCTGTTAGTGAGCACTTAAACGCTTCCATAAAGCAATGAACTGGAAAAAAAAGGCTATTCAGCTTTAAAAATCAGATACATAAAACTGGACTTAAGACGAATGATTTAGTTGAACTGGGAATCAAATGCACTATTTTTCTCTTCAAATTACACATAGGCTAATGGACTAAGAAAAAAAGGAAAAAAAATTGTACAAAACAGCTCTAGCATTGAAATGTTCAATAACTCTACAACCAAATACTGCATTAGTTGGATAACAATGACTGTTCTTAAGTGCAAACTGTAAATTGTTCTAAGAAACAATCTTTTATTCTGTAGCTTTTCAATTTATGAGCAAATAGTATCAAATTCATGGTCTTGTCAGTATGCCAAAACAAACAAAACACCAAACAAAAACCTTAGCACACACAACCCCCAGAAAAACCCAACCCCCCAAACGAGTAAACCAGTTTTCAAATAAAATGAGACAGCTGGCAAAAGGTCTCTGTATAATTTGGGAAAACTACCATTATTTGGCTACATTCATTTCATTCTTAAACATCCAAATTTTCACTTACTGAAACTCACTGATAATAAAAACCCTATCCCATTATATATTTAATTTCTTCCTGTGGATATTAAAATAAACTATGTTCTGAAATTAAGAGTTAAAATACCTCCTTTTTTTTCCATACATGTTTGCCTATATAAATATATTTCATCATTTTACAAATTACAGTATTTATATTAAAGCTTTCATTCAGCAAATCATTACAGCTTAACAAGAACAAACAATCCCTGTGTTTTGGTTCTGTCTTTAATCACTTTTGGAGATAATGAAAACCAGCCAAAATGAGTGACTGCAAATAATACAAACAACACATTTATTTAGAAAAATAAACTGAAAATGTTGCTTGTCTGTTAGATTTCTCCATGAAGTATAGACAAATGGCTAGAAAAATTTTATGTCAAGTACATATTACAAATGACTTTAGCAGTAACTGGGACTAAATGTCAATGTTCAACAGGAACATTTTTTGATGTATAATTCAATAGATTAAATTTCTCAGCTGCTAATATGATAAAAAAATGGATGCTATTAAAAAAGATTATATCCCCTTTTTAAATACACCTTATCATGTTGCTGCTTTTTCATATATATACATATGTATATATGTATGTATATGCATGTATTTATTTCATCCTAAGAAAGGATCGCAATCCTTTCTGTGAAGAGATCCCCATAGTGAAAGAGAGCATAAATGTTTTTCTTCAGTTCTAACTTTTTAATTCCATTTGGAGCCATGGCAAAGTATAGCTTGTTGTGGTCAAAAATCTCCTGGGGCCATCTGTGCAAATGGTGGCACACATCATTACCCTGAATGGAAGTGACAGTGCAAATAATAGAAGTGCATCGAGATGCAATCTCTAAGAGCAGAACTTCCTCAAAGTTGGGTGGAGGACAGGAGACAGCATCCTTAAAAGTGACTTAACTTCACTTATGCCCTGTTCCTGTATGGCTTTGAATATATACAAGGGATGACAGAGGTCTTCTTCCCCACAGACAGTAACACTCCTCTGTTACAATAAATGTATCCTTTTTTTCTGAAATTACTAAGTGCTTCCTTTCTCCTTTTGGCTACATATTGAAATATTTGTTGATGCTGGCTGTACCCATAAAAAACTCCTTGTCTGGTACTCTGGTTGCTCAGCACAGAACTCAGGTGTCAGGCTTGGAGACAGCAGTTTCTGCAATGGGGCAAAACATTGAGTTCTCTTATCCTTCTTTCCCACTGAATGGAATTTAAGGCTGTGGCTTTTGCCAGGACTCAGCTTGTAGCTGTCAGATCTGAAAGAGGTGATTCAATGCAGATTACACTAGTGCTCAGTTGTGCTCTGACTTCAAGGGTTCTTCCATTCTCCACTAAGGGTCAGGTTTCCTGGTTACTTCTCAGATCCGGCCTGCAACAAGTCACAATGATGAATCTGATATGGAAATTAATTGATGTGCCTCCAAATATAGATACTCCTTCATGCCTGAAGGTGCTGTTAAAAAGAAAAGAAGGGCAAAGTTATAAAAAAATGTTACTTTAAATAGACAATTTAATAAACAAAATATAATTTTGAACTATAATTCCAGTTTTCATGTAAGCATTTAAAAAAATAATAGTATTTTGAAATGATCTTTTATAGTTGCACTTTATTATGTATACAAGCCTTTTTATTTTTTTGCAGGGGTAAATGGGCTTAATTTCAATGGTGTCTTTGAAATCACATTATTTATATTCCCTGTGAAATCTGGACTCTAATACTTGTTCATAAATTAAATAGAACGTGAACTCAGCAGAGGCTCCCCATCTGACAAGTAAGTTTTCCACTAAAATATTATATATAATTCTGATTTGGGTCTTTCATATTCATTTTTGCGAAAGTTTTAATTTTTATAAAACACTAATAATGCTGCAGTCTAATGATGGGGTTTACTGCCTTACTGAGTTTTCCTAGCTTCATTTATTAGGGAAGATAAAGCAGCAGTATCTAAGAAAGAGATCTTAGAATACTTACCTGTTGGTAGCTAGGACACTAATTTGGGTTAAAGGATTAAATTCACACCTCCTGAGGAAAAGAATAACAACTTCCTGATGCATTTTTGGTGATTTACACCTGGAGGTACATACTTCAATGAGAAGGAAGATCACTTCTTTGCCATTAGCTTTGTGAATCTAGCCCCTCATTCACATTTCCTCATATTTCTTACTCAAACCATTTAAATTGGTAAAGATTGTCATGGGACAATCAATGGGATTGTTCACTGTCAGACAAAAAGAAGGAATCTGAATTTGCTGTAATGCAAATACTTTTTTCCCCCAGCACTAAATGAAAAGATAAATTATTTAATGAAATTATTTAACACAGAATTGTTACAGTGGCCCAATGTAACCCTACAGCCTAGCCTAGATAGATTTGTGATACCACTGGCTTAGCAGAAGTTGTTTTCCTAGTCAAGTATTCAGAGTTTCACTCACATTGTTAATGAAAAGGAAAGTGTTCTAAACATCTGTTAGCAGCTTACTTTTAAACTGAAGATGGTCTTCATATCACTAAAAAGTTACAACACTTGTTCAGCTGTCAGAATTTCAGGCTTCAATTACATTTGGGCTAATGATTCCTGTATGTTTATTACCTCATTAGAATCACCAGAAAAGACAGTATTATCCTTAAATGCAGCTTAATTCTCAGGAACAAGATGAATATGGTGCAACTAACACACATTTATAATAATTATAATAATACTCACAAAAAAGAAAATGCGAATAGTATTTGTTGTCAGAAAACAGTTGTTCCTCAAACTTAGACTCTGAATAAAGTAAAATACAATGCTGAGCACTGTAGGCATGAAGAGCAAGGTTTTCTTTTCTTCTGGGTTGCAATTCATAAACATAGACAATATCATGCTGTCTTAGTTTAATTCCAGTCAGCAACTAAGTAACGTGCAGTTCCTCAATCACCCCCCACCACAGTGGGCTGGGGAGGAGAGCTGGGGAAAAAACTGATACACATGAATAAAATTAAAATATTGCAATAATAACGATAACAAATAAACCCCAAGAAAGAAAAGTGATAGACAATTCAATATGGCTCAACATCTGCTGACTGATGTCCAGCCAGCCCTCAAGCTGTATGAGCAGCTCCTATCCCACTCCCCGAGTTTATTGGACATGAGTTTATGGTATGGAATATCCCTTTAGCCAGTTTGGGCCACCTCTCCTGGTTTTGCTCCCTCAAGGCTTCTTACACACTTCCTCACTGGCAAAGCAGAGGAAGTTGAAAAGTACTTGATTTAGAGTACACACTACCTAGCAACAACTGAAACACCAGTGTGTTAATCAACATTATTCATATTCTAAATCCAAAACACTACTAAGAAGAAATTTAACTCTATCCCAACCAAACCTTGGACAACTGCTTACAAAACCAGGAAGTGATTTATCAAGTATACTTGAATTTCTCCATCATTTCTGTCATTGAGTTGTCAGCCCACACAATTAGATTCATTCTAAATCATAAAACCATGTGACATCCACCCTCATTTCATCAACATTCTACCAAGAAAAGACTGCCTTTTTTCCCTTTATACTAACTGTGCTAAAGAGTAAAAATGATGAAAATATTTTGCACCTTTCCACATTAACAAAGAGTATGTTCAAATGAAAAATTATGGTTAAACTTGCTGAGTGGAAAATTCATTAGGTAGCAATGCCTGCATTAAAAAAACAGCTGTGCCTCTTGCTACCCTCCACAAAATCTATACTTGCAAGCCATTATGGTACACATGGAGAAGTGAGCAGCAAGAGAAAAAAGGCCAGTCAATGAAAAAAAATCCCTGCCTACTAACTACAGACTCCTATCCTGAACCGCTTAGTCTTTAATCCTATAGTCTGTACTGGTTTTGATAGCAAGCCCGTACATTCTGATTTAATTCATCATTACAACATCTTTTTTTTTTTTTTTTTACAGCATACCTTGCCACTCACCTCATTGTAATAAAACCCTGACCCTATTAAAATCATTATTAGGGAGCTAGAGCTCAGACAATTTACAGGAAACCATTTTGTTCACTCATGTCCCTTCTCCTTTTCAGTACTTGGGCAGCATCACTATGTCATTCTCTTCCTTATACAGCACCATTATTTAGTCCCAAAAGCTAGAGAAACAAAGAAACCAATGTTGCTCTTCTCCCCGTTATTCAAAACTAGATAACCACTCTTCTGTATTAAAAAATAAATTTCACTTTGCTGTGTGTATTACCTGAAAACCACCTACATCCTTCTGCTTTGGTCTGTTTGTCAAAGTCTTTTTAAAAAAGTGATAGTGAGTCTAGTCCCATCTACAAGGACATCCTCCTTCTCATCATGGCCATGACCATATTGTCTCTGGACACATTGCTATGCAGAACCCTGTGGATGGAAAATGTTAAGGGAAAAGGCTACTAAGGGAAGTTTCCTTTCATCCTCAGACCCATGAAATGGCTACCCCATTCTCAGATACAGAGAAACCATTACATTTACTGGTCTTGAAATAAAGACCAATAAATCCAGTGGCATGGTTGGAAGACACCAAGAAAATTATAGAGAAGACATCATCAACTTTGAAGTGGTATGTGCAGTGAGGATGCCAATGATCACAGAAAAGAATACTTTTAATGAAGGTTTCTATGCTGGGCCTCATGCCTTTTATCAAGGAAAAGGGAGAAAACAACTAGGAAATGTACGTCATGTTCAATTGAGAAAGGGAGATTTACTGGATGTATGCTAAGCCATGTAATTTCTGCATCATTGTAATTCTGGTAAAAGCACCTGAAAGACTAGCTGAAAAAAAATCTTCATTATTTGGGCTAATTTGGACATATGTTATTATCTGTCTTAAGTAACTGCAAGTCAGAGCACATGCCCAGCTATTAGTTGTACTCACATATTTAGGAGTACAACAAAAGTTCTTACTTTTTTTTTAAAAAAAAACAACAAAAATTGATATGGTAATAAATCTTCCTAAACATAGTGCAGATATCTTCTAGATATTGTTTAAATATTAATGGCATCTGTTAAGTTGTTGTAATGGTGTTGATTGGCCAATCTGAGATTTCCTGGCCAATGCACCAATTAATGTGGTGGGTCTAGCACTGGCTAAATGCCAGTGCACCCACTAGAACATATTTACTCATTTCCTGCTGTGATATAGCATTAGGAGGAAGGCAAAGCAGGTTCAAAACTTTAAAATGGTATAAAAAAAAAGTTTATTAACAGAACTAAACGAATAATAAGAATCAGAATAAAACCTTCAGAATACTTCTCCCCTACAACCTTTTCTGTCCCACTACCAATGTACAGAAACAATTCAGTCATATTATGACCTCTAGAATACTCTTTCTTCAATTCACTAAGGGAGAGGAGTCCCTCTTGTGTTTCATGGAGACTTCTCCACAAGAAAACAGTTCTCTCATGTGTGGCCATGATATTATGAAAAATCCTTTGCTGGGATTTTTCCTCTCCTGAGAAGCTGAGGAGCTTCAGGAGAAAAATGTAAACAATTACTATCTGCTGCTGTGGAATTCTCTTCTTGTTGTAGCCTTCTGATCTCTCTATTCTTTAGTATAATCTTAATATAGCATTTTAAGATAATATTTAACATAATAAATCAACCTTCTAAAATGGAGTCAAACCTCGTGTCTCCACACACGGAGAGTTCGCCACAACATCTCATGGCTTTTAATTCCCACTAGTAGCAGCCACCTAGGAACCTGCAATTGTGAAGTCTCTCCCATCTTTTCACAGCCTTCCTACAGCTGCATTTATGGGCCATGTCAATTTATGGAATACTATTTTAAGGATTAGCTGTTCAAGAGCAAAGGTTCTCTTTATCTATCTCTAAGATCATCTTCATCTCTGGGAACAGAGGTGGTCTTCTTCTTTCCCTAGGGGCAAAGGGTCTTCATCACTCTTCTCTCTCTCGGTTCAAACTTCTCATGGGATCACAGCTACTTCAACATCTGCTTGCTTTAGCATAGATGACTTTGCTGCAATTTGAACACTTAATCTCCCATACTTTTCAATGAGTTACAGGGAAAAAGAGTCTGATATATCAATTATATTCTTCTCCATAGCTTTACAAGAGGATTTCAGCCCAAAACTAAAGGCATCTCCTCATTCTCCTTCCCATCTGGAATTTGACTTCTTCTTTACTGACCTCAGTGTCTCATGTTGCCTTTGACATGTCTTCACTCACTCTCTTTCATACGAGAAAGGATCAATGCTTTGCAAGTTTCATCTGTGCAGTGAAAGAGCTCCATCTCGCCCAGGCCTGCGGGTCATTATGTGATCCCTGCCGGGCTGCGGCCAGAGCACTTACAGTGATGTATTTCAGGCTGCACCGGGGGCTGTGTCAGGCTCGATCACAGACCATGGCCAAAGACCATGGCTGATCTTTGGTTTTTGCTGCGTCCAATTCCAGCCACGGGGCCACTCTCTGCACGGGCTCCTCTGCCCTCA